TATATAAACAAACATATAAACAATCAAAAATCACTTTACAAATTTAATAAGGCGATTCCCAGTGAATCTGGGAACTGATTTTTTTTTAATACTCCCAGAGTTGTATTTTGAAATTAAATGACAGACTGTTTTAAACTGAAACATTTATAATGCTGCTAAACATGCAAACAAAACACATTTCACATACGCTGCGAAATCACCACTCAAAAAGATCTCAAACCTCTAAAGATGAAAAAAAAAACATGTACAAGCATTTTCCAGATGATCAGTTAATTTGCATATTTTCTTTTTTACTATATAATTATCCGTTTTTAAAGGGCAGTGGGTTTTCATGCTTAGAAATGTTATGTAAGAATCATCTGGGTATTTTTAACACAAAACGCTTATCAAGATCTCAAAGTAAATGACAAGAATTGGTGAATGATGCCTTTTTTCTTCTTTTTTTTTTCCTCAATAGACGATTGATTTTAATCACAGCATATACAATGAACAGACAACTCTATACTGTCATCCAAAGGGTTTAATTTCACTTTTCCAGGTCATATTTCATCCTGAAAACACATTAAAAAGAAGAAGAAAAAAAAAGTACAATATATTATACATTATTTATAGGCCCATTAAGATTTTTTTTGTATTGTGACGTTATTCTCATGATAATTAAGGACATTTTCCTCCCAAATCCTCATTACTGTAATGCATCCGGATGTTTTCATTGGTTTGTAATTCTCATTATTCTCAATGATTATTCTCATTATATTGACATTACTGTAATGAGAGCAATCAAAATCATGCTGTCCACAAACAATATTTAGTTTTTCTAATCAGAAACACTGAGGTGATTTTTCTTTTCACAATATCTCATATAGGCATCATTTTCTTAATACTAATAATTCATATTAATATTTTGCAAAACATTCATTTGATTTTGGGCTAAATTCTGACCCTGCTATGACGTTCTTGACAGGTTTTGTAAAAATTCACCAGAAACATTTCATGTAACAAAAAGATTTTGCAATTTAACAAACTATTATTACATAATAACGAACATTTGAAAACATGGAAACTGTGTTTTTCAGTCAACAAATGCTGGGATAAAAAAAAATCAATTTCTATCGATATTCAGCTTGCTTTGTAGGCAAATAAAATCACAGTTCTACCAAACATATGAGACAAAACAAAGAATTCAGTTGAAGCCTTGGTGTCCCATCATGCAACAGAATAGCAAGGCTACAAAAACAATAAACAACAAATTCCAACGCATGACATTTCTGAATGCTATATGAAATATGTGCACCCTCTGGCCAATTCAAATGAGTTTGGACATCTATATTTTGCCACACTACGATATAGATGTTCAGGTTAATGGGCAAATTCAATCAGCCTGCCATACACCGAATGAAGATATCTATCTATCTATATAAGCTGATTGCACGAGAAATGAGAAGGACGTTTTCTTTTCACAGTATTTACAGACGTTATACATGCAGAAGAGTGAGACTCAAAGAGAACTAGTCAGTGTTTTAATGTTCACATCTATATTCAGTGTATGTGGACGTTTACACTATCAGTGAGAAGTTCTGACACACCTTTTCTTCTGTTATTAAAATGTGAATATAATAATAGGTATTAAAACTATGAATGAACACAAAAGAAACTGTAGGAATTATGCAGTGACCAAAAAACATGGGAAATCAAATGTAAATTTGAGCTTATTTGTCTAGATTTACATTTTTATTTACTATTGGCTGAAACTTAGTTGTTTTTTTTTACATAAGATTTATCTATAAGCCATTAGATTAAAATTTAATCCTTTAAAAGTAAGAAAATATTACATCCCACTTTATATTAGGTGTCTTTAACTACTATGTACAAAAATAAATAAATGAAATAAAATAATTGTTTGGTATAAATATATTTATTGTGTTCATGTTGTTAAGCAAAACACTTTGTAATTATAGGTGTCATTACAGAAATTAATTACAGATGTAATTACATGCAGGTATCTTTTAAATATAAGTGCAATGTGAAAACATGTATGCACAAAATAAATGCATTGTATCACAAGATTAAATTTAAATACATAGTAGTTAAATATACTTGATATAAAGCCAAAAATTTTATATATGTATAAATCTATATGAATTCATGGTAATTTTGCATACTGATTCATATTAATTACCAATTTATATTAAAAATCATGACATAAATTCAGTTAAGTGTGTCCACGTTTTTGACTGGTAGTGTATACAATTTAGACTCTTTTTCCTCAAATTTGCGTTTATATCTCACAGTTCAGACTCTTTTCCCTCAAATTTGCGTTTATATCTCACAGTTCAGACTCTTTTCCCTCAAATTTGCGTTTATATCTCACAATTCAGAATCTTTTTTTCCTCAAATTTGCGTTTATTCTTACAATTTACTCTTTTTCCTCAAATTTGCATTTATATCTCACAGTTCAGACTCTTTTTTCCTCAAATTTGCGTTTATATCTCACA